CCGCCAAATGGGGTTTGGCCAGGAGACGTCATAAAAGCCTGACCCCCCGGGGCCTCCGCACAAGCTTATTAGTTACAGGTTTATGTTTAATTCGTGGTTTCGTGGTAATTAATAGAAGGTGGAGGGGTTACCAGCCCCTCGCAGCCGTCCAGAGCCCCCGTTTAGGCCACTGTGGTGGTCACAGATGCCATGAGGGGAGAGGCCAATGGGCATTGGCCCTCCCCCCACAGCACTGCCCACGACAGTGTTGCCCGTCCGGCACACACGTTCACACACACGTACACACACACGTACACACACACGTACACACACACGTACACACACACGTACACACACACACTTGTACGCACACACGTACACACACGTACGCACACACGTACACACACACGTACACACACGTACACACACACACGTACGCACACACACACGTACACACACACGTACACACACACACGTACGCACACACCGACCTTTGAGCTGGACAGTGTCCGCGAACTGCGTCTTTTTTCTCGTACCACACTCCTTGGTTGAATACGGGGCTGTGGGTAACCACATTGACAGCACTCACCCACAGCGGCACTCACCACACAGACACCCATAGACATCACCCACACAGACACCCATAGACATCACCACACAGACACCCATAGACATCACCACCACGCAGACACCCATAGACATCACCACACAGACACCCATAGATTCACCACACAGAGACAGATGTGTCATAAATCCGCTCCGGAACGATATCGTGTCTTTGTCTGGTCTGTATTTGTTCTCCATGTACACAGCTCCCTCACCCTCCCGGGTTCCTTTTCCCCCGTTACTCCAGTGTGGCGTTCGCATCGCTCGCGTCCCTCACACCTCTCCACCAGAGGTTGCAACCGGGTATCCGATACCCGGCTACCCGTAACCCGGGCCGGGTACGGGTAGCCGTTTGCGACCCTGGTGCGGCCGGGTACGGGTAGGCCCGTGAGTCACTGGTGAGTAACCATTGTCACTCATTTCGGGTAGGGTACGGGTAGGGAACGGGTACCCGTACCCAGCCGGGTACAGGTAGGGTACGGGTATCGGGTATAGGTAGGGTACGGGTACAGGTAGGCCGTGAGTCACCGGTGAGTAACCGTTTGTCACTCGTTTCGGGTAGGGTACGGGTAGGGAACGGGTACCCGTACCCAGCTGGGTACGGGTAGGGTACGGGTACGGCCGGGTACGGGTACCCGTTTACGACCCTGGTGCGGCCGGGTACGGGTGTCGGGTACGGGTAATCGGGTACAGGGGGTAAGGAATCAAAACCCGTTTGCGACCTCTGCTCTCCACACTGACCACGAGCTTGTGTCTCTCTACCCCTTACACCACGTGGCCCACGTGATGCCACCCATCCAATCAGCAGCCTCACCCCTGGAACCTTCTAGATGTTGCTGTGCAGCCCCAGGGCCACGCCTCTGGCTCGACATCCCATTGGCTGCGGGCTGAGGCCGGCAGAGCCAATCACCATCGCCCAGTTATCCCCCCCCCCCAGACACACACACACAATATGCATCTTCATATTACACGTGTATGTTTATGTGTGTATGTATATGTGTGTGTATGTGTGTGCATGTATATGTGTGTATGTGTATGTATATGTGTGTGTATGTATATGTGTGTGTATGTGTGTGTATGTGTAGGGATTATTACGGGAGAAACGGCGGACAACAAACACAGGGGTGTTGGCACTCACATACACGGGTGGTCACACCGACGTCCGCATCCGTTATTGCCCACGCCCCCAGCCCTCGGAGGTGATCCCTATAAAAGGTGGAGACCCAAAGAGCTCGAGGCAGTTCGACACGAAGCTGACCAGTGAAGATCCAAGACTCGGAGATTAGGCCCTGGGACTCCCCGGTCCTCGCTGTCCTTATAAGGGCCGAGCCGGGTAAGCCAGCGGCGCGGCCCAAAAGCTTCCAGACCGCTGCCCTTATCAGGGCAAGGCTGGTTAGCTGGTGCCGAGATCTGTGCTTGCCAGGGCCCAGATCAGTCAGCCTCCCGTAGCCCAGTAGAGGAGGACTGGGGAACAGGACAGGGGGGCTTAGGTACTAGGGTGGGTTTCCCATAGTACGGGTGAAGGGGTCGATACCCCTTCAACTATTGTTGCCTGTCCCTGGGTTAATAACAGAGTGTGCCTCAACTTCGACCAGCGTCTCCTCGAACTTACTACATATGTGTGTGTATGTATATGTGTGTGTATGTGAATGGGGAGCGGTAGTGTAGCGGTTAGCGCTACGCTGCGCTATGACCCGGCGACCCGGGTTCGATTCCCGCTCACGGCCAACACCAGTGACGATTATCTGAACCGGTCCTGGGCCTCCCGTAGGTCGACTCAGCCTGAAATGAGTACCTGGTGCGGTGTGTAAACATCGCCACTGGGGAGACAAAGGCGGTCGCGGCGTGGTGCTGGCCACACACCCCCTCGTGTGCCGTGCCGGCCTTCATAGGTGCTCGCTACAGCACTTGCCCCTACAGTCTGTTAAGGCTATACGGAGGATCTTTGTCTTGTGTATGTGTAATGGCAGGGTGACACCTGAGGGGTTACTGCGGTTATAGCTGCATGACGTAACGCCTCATCGTGAAGGGGCGCATCTTGGGTCGAAGATGAAGGGCTGAGTCAGTCGAGAAGCTGATGTCGAGGGTAAATGGGCGAGGTTTTAGGACTGTGACTCACGCAGCTGCAATGGCTGCTTTGGGTATGCGGTCCAGACCTCCCCAGAGACCCTGGCTGACAGAGGAGGTGGTCAGGATAGTTGAGAAAAAGCGCCAGGCCCACTCTCATCAGCTACAACATCCCACGTCGGAGAATGAGGCTTCGCTCGGAGGTTCGGAGAGGCGTGAGGCGCTGCGCAGGATGGGTGGTGGTCGCGGATCACAATTTCCTATTTAACTCCATCAAAAAAAGTAACCTGCAGCGCCACACCTATTACCATCATTAGGGGAAAAAACGGTAATCCAATCTCCGACCCCCAGGGAACAGGTTTGCAGATTTTTGAGCATTTCTGTGAGGTCCTGGGGGAGGGGAAATCCCTCAGCCAGGAAAACATCATGGCACAAAGTGGGGATGCCCCTGTTGAGGCTGCGGTGCCTCAAATATTGGAAGAAGAAGTCACCCCCTGTGAGTGGCTGGCTGAGGTGCCATCTGTTGAGGAAGTACTGAAGGTGATCCAGAGTCTGAGACCAGGAAGGCACCGGGCAGAGATGATCTCCCAAGCGAAATGCTGAGGGAGGGTGGCGTTTGTGCACAGACTGCCCTACATGACATCATAACAACAGTCTGGACCACTGGACGGGTTCCGCAGGACTGGAAGGATGCCCTGGTGACCCCCTCTTTAAGAAGGGGGACCGCACAGACTGTAACAACTACAGGGGTTTCAGGAAAAGGGCAGTCCTGCACAGATGCCATATTTCTGTCCGTCTGCTACAGCAGAGGTGTAGGGAATTCCAAAAAGACCTACATCTCTGCTTTATTGACCTGGTCAAGGCCTATGATACCATCAGTAGGACTGGGCTCTGGGTTGTTCTTCGTGCTTTCGGAGTCCCTGACCCTCTGCTCACGATCATTAAGAACCTTCATGATGGTGTGAGTGGGGCCCGGGTACACTACGTGGCCGGGAGTCGGAGCCATTCCTTGTACACCTTGGGGTGCGACAGGGATGTCCTCTGGCTCCCACATTATTTAACATCTATTTGACCACTAGTTCGTGAAAGCCTTCAATAGCTGTACCAGGGGAATTTCCATTTGGTACAGATATATGAGAGGGCTGATCGATGCCCGGAGTGCGGTCAAGGGATGGCTCCCTATTGGTCACCACGTTAGGTATCCCGATGATTTGGTAATTGCTGCTCATTCAGAGGAGGAGTTGGAGAGCGCTGCTGCTGAAACTGGAGTGTGCCACTAAGATGGTGGGGCCTTACCATCAGCCCCACCAAAACTAAGCACTTGCCTTGGTATTTGTACCATCGGACACTCCACCCCCACAACTCCTAATCGGTGATGGGGAAGTTGTGAAGAGAGTGGAGAGTTTCCCATACCTGGGCAGTGTGCTTATGACCGTCTCTGGTTTAACAGCAGAGGTCTCACTCCGAATCAGTCGAATGGCATGTATCTTTTAATCGGTTGCGTAACGCTATTGGAAGCTTCAGGTCTCTCGGCCACGGTCATTCCCTCCCTTCTCTACGCTTGCGAAACGTGCACTCCCCTAATGGAACATCTTCGCCGTTTACCCAGATCTTTCAAGGATCACAAATCCTTGAAAGATCTGGGCAAAGTCCATCGGTGAGCACCTCCAGCAGGCAAGGCGCGTTGGCTGGGTCATGTAGCCCGCATGGCCAGCCACCGCATGCCTAACAGCTTTGTTCGGCCGGGAACAAGGGGGCGAAACTGGCGCGGCACGGGTTATAGAAGAGATGGAGTGATGTGGTACAGGAGGACGTGGAGCTGAGTGGACTTGCCGATGACTTGTTACCAGCAGTGTCAAGATCAGCCTCTGTGATGCGACGCTCACAACAACGAGCGGAGTGCTGGGTGGCTAAAGCACAGCAAGTTGGCACAGTAGGGGGCACAGGTGGTGCATCAGCCAGTCGTCTCGGTCATCACAGTCAGTCGACCCGTGGCACCTGCTGGTCTGGCCCGTGATCCTCCTGCCGCGGGGTGTTCGACACTTCACGTGGTAGCCTCACGGTGCACATGGCCTGGCACAAGCGTCGTGGTGACGTCACCGCCACTTAGTGGCGAAGATGGCGGTTGTGTGTTGTTGTTGTATATATTATGTATAGTGTATGTATGTGTGTATGTGTGTATGTGTGTATGTATGTGTGTGTATGTGTGTGTATGTATATATATGTATGTGTATGTATGTGTGTGTATGTTGTGTATGTATGTATATGTATGTATATATATGTTGTGTATGTATGTGTTGTGTATGTATATATATGTGTATGTATATATATGTATAAGTGTGTGGTACCTCTTTCTCTCCTGCTCCGTGGGGCTGCCTCGCCCCGTGAGGCTCCGCTGGCGCTTGAGGACGACGTGGGAGGAGGAGGCCATCAACACCTCCTCACTGTCACCCTCCTCGTCCTCCACCTCCTCACCCTTCTCATCCTCATCCACCTCACCCTCCACCTCCTCCGCACCCTCCACCTCCTCCTCACTGTCACCCACCTCCTCGTCCTCATCATCCACCTCCTCCTCACCCTCCTCACCCTCCCCACCCTTCCCATCCACCTCCTCACCCTCCTCACCCTTCTTATCCAACTCGTCACCCTTCCCATCCTCCACCTCCTCCTCACCCTTCCCATCCTCCACCTCACTCTTATCTTCCACCTCATCTCCCTTCTCCTCCATTACCACCTCCACCTCATCTCCCTTCTCCGCCATCACCACCTCCACCTCCTTGACCTTCTCCTCCACCACCACCTCCACCTCCTTGACCTTCCCGATGAGGTCACCGCCAGCGGCCACAACATCTCCCTTCTCCTCCACCATCACCACCTCCACCTCATCGCCCTTCTCCTCCACCACCACCTCCAACCCCTTGACCTTCCCGGCGCTGTCACCACCAGCGGCCACGGCATTTCCCTTCTCCGCCATCATCACCACCTCCACCTCCTTGACCTTCTCCTCCACCACCACCTCCAACCCCTTGACCTTCCCGGTGAGGTCACCGCCGCCACCGCGACCGGCGCCGCCGCTCAACGTAGTGGGGTCACCGCGGCGCAGGCCGGCACGGCCTCCTTGGTGTGAAGACATCCTGCAGCTGCCAACACCGACTCACACAGAGACACACAGACTCACTACACAGACTCAATCACAGAGACACACAGACTCACTACACAGAGACTCACACAGACTCACCACACAGAACACACAGACTCACTACACAGAGACACACAGACTCACCACACAGAGACCCACAGACTCACTACACACAGACTCACTACACACAGACTCACACAGAGACACACAGACTCACACACAGAGACCCACAGACTCACACAGAGACCTACAGACTCACACAGAGACCCACAGACCCAGACCACAGAGACCCACGACTCACCACACAGAGACCCACAGACTCACACACAGAGACCCACAGACTCACACAGAGACCCATAGACTCACTACACAGAGACCCACAGACTCACCACAGAGACCCACAGACTCACACAGAGACCCACAGACTCACCACACAGAGACCCATAGACTCACCACACAGAGACCCACAGACTCACCACACAGAGACCCACAGACTCATCCACAGAGACCCACAGACTCATCACACAGAGACCCACAGACTCACCACAGAGACCCACAGACTCACCACCAGAGACCCACAGACTCACCACACAGAGACCCATATACTCACACAGAGACCCACAGACTCACCACACAGAGACCCACAGACTCATCACACAGAGACCCACAGACTCACCACACAGAGACCCACAGACTCATCACACAGAGACCCACAGACTCACCACACAGAGACCCACAGACTCACCACACAGAGACCCAGACTCACCACACAGAGACCCACAGACTCACCACACAGAGACCCACAGACTCACCACAGAGACCCACAGACTCACCACACAGAGACCCACAGACTCATCACACAGAGACCCACAGACTCACCACACAGAGACCCACAGACTCACACACAGAGACCCACAGACTCACCACACAGAGACCCACAGACTCACCACACAGAGACCCATAGACTCACCACACAGAGACCCACAGACTCACCACACAGAGACCCACAGACTCATCACACAGAGACCCACAGACTCACCACCAGAGACCCACAGACTCATCACACAGAGACCCACAGACTCACCACACAGAGACCCACAGACTCACCACACAGAGACCCACAGACTCACACACAGAGACCCACAGACTCACCACAGAGACCCACAGACTCACCACACAGAGACCACAGACTCACCACACAGAGACCCACAGACTCACACACAGAGACCCACAGACTCACACACAGAGACCCACAGACTCACCACGAGACCACAGACTCACACCAGAGACCCACAGACTCACCACACAGAACCCAGACTACTCACACGAGACCCACAGACTCACCACACAGAGACCCACAGACTCATCACACAGAGACCCACAGACTCACCACACAGAGACCCACAGACTCATCACACAGAGACCCACAGACTCACCACAGAGACCCACAGACTCACCACACAGAGACCCATAGACTCACCACACAGAGACCCACAGACTCACCACAGAGACCCACAGACTCACACACAGAGACCCACAGACTCACCACACAGAGACCCACAGACTCATCACACAGAGACCCACAGACTCACCACACAGAGACCCACAGACTCACACACAGAGACCCACAGACTCACCACACAGAGACCCACAGACTCACCACACAGAGACCCATACTCACCACACAGAGACCCACAGACTCACCACACAGAGACCCACAGACTCATCACACAGAGACCCACAGACTCACCACACAGAGACCCACAGACTCACACACAGAGACCCACAGACTCACCACACAGAGACCCACAGACTCACCACACAGAGACCCACAGACTCACCACAGAGACCCACAGACTCACCACACAGAGACCCACAGACTCACCACACAGAGACCCACAGACTCACCACACAGAGACCCACAGACTCACCACACAGAGACCCACAGACTCATCACACAGAGACCCACAGACTCACCACACAGAGACCCACAGACTCACCACACAGAGACCCACAGACTCACCACACAGAGACCCACAGACTCACACACAGAGACCCACAGACTCACACACAGAGACCCACAGACTCACCACACAGAGACCACAGACTCACCACCAGAGACCCACAGACTCACCACACAGAGACCCATAGACTACCACACAGAGACCCACAGACTCACCACACAGAGACCCACAGACTCACACACAGACCCACAGACCACACAGAGACCCACAGACTCATCACACAGAGACCCACAGACTCACCACACAGAGACCCACATCACCACACAGAGACCCATAGACTCACCACACAGAGACCCACAGACTCACCACACAGAGACCCACAGACTCACACACAGAGACCCACGACTCACCACACAGAGACCCACAGACTCACCACACAGAGACCCACAGACTCACCACACAGAGACCCACAGACTCACACACAGAGACCCACAGACTCACCACACAGAGACCCACAGACTCACCACACAGAGACCCATAGACTCACCACACAGAGACCCACAGACTCACCACACGAGACCCACAGACTCACCACAGAGACCCACAGACTCACCACACAGAGACCCACAGACTCACCACACAGAGACCCACAGACTCACCACACAGAGACCCACAGACTCACCACACAGAGACCCACAGACTCACACACAGAGACCCACAGACTCACCACACAGAGACCCACAGACTCACCACAGAGAACCCACAGACTCACCACACAGAGACCCACAGACTCACACACAGAGACCCAGACTCACCACACAGAGACCCACAGACTCACCACACAGAGACCCACAGACTCACACACAGAGACCCACAGACTCACCACACAGAGACCACAGACTCACCACAGAGACCCAGACTCACCACAGAGACCCACAGACTCACCACACAGAGACCCACAGACTCACCACACAGAGACCCACAGACTCACCACACAGAGACCCACAGACTCACACACAGAGACCCACAGACTCACACACAGAGACCCAGACTCACCACACAGAGACCCACAGACTCACCACACAGAGACCCACAGACTCACCACACAGAGACCCACAGACTCACCACACAGAGACCCACAGACTCACCAGAACACAGACTCACAATGTCCTCGTTGTGGGTTGAGGTCAGACGTTCCGTGCCGCTACCTCGCGCAGGCCTCTGTGATCACGTGGGGCCTTAGCAACGCGCTTTTAGAAAAACGTAGAGCAGATAGGCGACCACGTGATGCGATCCGTATTTAGATTTCGTAGACCTGATAGGCACTGCCCATAGACTCAACACTGCACCATAGACTCAACACTGCACCATAGACTCAACACTGCCCATAGACTCAACACTGCACCATAGACTCAACACTGCACCATAGACTCAACACTGCACCATAGACTCAGCACTGCACCATAGACTCAACACTGCACCATAGACTCAACACTACCCATAGACTCAACACTGCACCATAGACTCAACACTGCCCATAGACTCAACACTGCACCATAGACTCAGCACTGCACCATAGACTCACACTGCACCATAGACTCAACACTGCACCATAGACTCAACACCCACTCACTCACTCCACTCACCACACCACTCACCCACCCACCTACTCACCCACCCACTCACCCACCCACTCACCACCCACCCACTCACCCACCCACTCACCACCCACTCACCACTCCCCCCCACTCACTCACCCTCTCACCCACTCACTCACTCACTCACCCACTCACCCACCCACTCACCCACCCACTCACCACCCACTCACTCACCCACCCACCCACCCACTCACCCACCCACCCACTCACTCACTCACCTACCCACCCACCCACTCACCCACCCCTCACTCACCCCACCAACCCACCCACCCACTCACCACCCACCCACTCACCACCCCACTCACTCCCCTCTCACCCACTCACTCACTCACCCACTCACCCACCCACCCACCACCCACCCACTCACCACCCACTCACTCACCCACCCACCCACCCACTCCCCACCCACCCACTCACTCACTCACTCACCTACCCACCCACCCACTCACCCACCCACTCACTCACCCACCAACCCACCCACCTACTCACCCATCCACCCACTCACCCACCCACTCACCCACCCACCCACTCACTCACCACTCACCCATTCACTCACTCACTCACTCACCCACCCACCCACTCACCCACCCACTCACCACCCACTCACTCACCCACCCACTCATTCACTCACCCACTCACCCACCCCTCACCCCCCCACCCCTCACCCACCTACTCACCACCCACTCCCTCACCCACTGACTCACTCACCCACTCACCCACTCACTCACTCACCCACTCACACCCCCACCCACTCACCCACCCACTCCTCACTCACCCACCCACCCACCACCCACCTACTCACCCACCCACTCCACACCCACCCACCCACTCACCCACTCACTCACTTACCCACCCACTCACCCACCCACTCCCCACCCACCCACCCACTCCTCACCCACTCACCCACCCACCCACCCACTCACTCACTTACCCACCCACTCACCCACCCACCCACTCACCCACCCACCCACCCACTCACTCACCCACCCACCCACCCACTCACTCACCCCACTCACCACCCACTCCTCACCCACCCACTCACTCACCCCCCACTCACCATCCACTCACTCACCCACATCGCGTGGGATCGAGTTAATCGTCAGGCGGATCTCCAGCGCAGGTAATCGATGAATCGATTCCAGGCCGCGTCCCATAAAAGTGCGTGTCCGATACAGGAAGTGGGTTGAAGAGACGTCGCTTCTCGCTACAAACACAAACACTACAAACTAACTAACTACTACTCACTAATTACTAATAGCTACTACTTACCACTTACTAACTACTTACTAACTAATACTAACTACTACTAACAAAAACAACTACCACTACTTACTAGCTACTATCACTACTTAACTACCACTACTAACTACTACTAACTACTACTACTTACTAGCTACTAACAAACAACTACCACTACTTACTACCACAACTAACTACTACTACTAACTCACAACTACTACCTACAACTAACCAGCTACCTACTAGCTAACTACTATTAACTACAACTTTCTACTAGGTATCTACTAACTACTACTAACTACCACTAACTAACTACCACTAACTACCACTAACTACCACTAACTAACTACAACTTACCACTAACTAACTACCACTACTACTACCTACAATAATGAGCAGTTACAACTGCAGTGGTGCCAGTGGTGGCAATACTACCGCTGATACTACTAATACTACCGCTGATACTACTACTAATACTACTAATACTACCGCTGATACAATCGCTGCTGCTACGTCTACTGATACTACTACTGCTGCTGCTGCGACTGATGCTACTACTACTGCTGCTGCTACTACTGCTGCTACTACTGCTGCTACTACTACGACTACTTCTACGACTACTGATGCTGCTGCGACTGCTATAACTCTGGAAGTGACTCCAATGTACTTGGCGTTGCCCGTGTGGCTACTGCGAGACGGGGTGAGTCGCGGGTCGGCCGTTATATATATTACAACAAAAACTCACAACACCTTGGTTCTACTGATGTATTAGGACCCTTATAGGGGTTATTAGGACCTTTATAGGGGTTATTGTAACGTTTATCTGGGCTTTTAGGACCCTTATAGGGTTATTGAACCCTTATAGGGTTACTAGCGGGAAGTACCCGGCGTTGCCCGGGTCTTAAAACTACTCTTAACAATCTAACAGCGGTGCATACTGACTGTGGTGGTACCTGCTATGATTACAGCAGTACATACTGACGGTGACCCCGGCGACCTCCGCGACCCCGGTGACCCCGCGACCCCGGTGACCCCCACGACCCCGGTGACCCCGGTGCGGCCCCACTCGGCCTACGCTCTCTTCTTCCACGACACTCTGGCGGCCGTCAGGGGCCAGCACCCTGACGTCTCCTTCGGGAGGCCTCGCGCATCGCCGCCAACACGTGGGGCAGCCTCGCCCACCAGCACAAGCAGGTGCTCCTCGTGTGGTGGTGGTGGTGGGGTGGTGGTGGTGGTGGTGGTGTGGGTGGGGTGGGGGTGGTGGTGGTGTGGATGTGGTGGTGGTGGGGTGTGGTGGTGGTGGTGGGGGTGGTGGGGGTGGTGGTGTGGACGTGGGGTGGTGGTGGTGGGTGGTGGTGGGGGTGGTGGTGGTGGTGGATGTGTGGTGGTGGTGGTGGTGGTGGGGGTGTGGTGGTGGTGGATTGGTGGTGGGGGGGTGGTGGTGGTGGTGGTGGTGGTGGTGGTGGGGGTGGGGGTGGTGGTGGGTGGTGGTGGTGGTGGGGGTGGTGGTGGTGGTGGTGGGGTGGTGGTGGGGTGGTGTGGGGTGGGTGGTGTGGTGGGGGTGGTGGTGGGGGTGGTGGTGGTGGTGGATGGGTGGTGGTGGGGGTGGTGTGGTGGTGGGGTGGGGGGTGGTGGGGGTGGTGGGGTGTGTGGTGGTGGACGTGGGGGTGGTGGGGTGGTGGTGGTGGTGGTGGATGTGGTGGTGGTGGTGGTGGTGGACGTGGTGATGGTGGTGGTTGTCGACGTGGTGGTGGTGGACGTGGTGGTGGTGGTGGTGGATGTGGAAATGGTGGAGGTGGTGACGATGATGATCCTCCGAGTGGTGTCGGTGTATTTGGTTCACAAGCAGACGAACTTACACAGACAGTACCCTAGACCCGA